AAAAACACCGGACAATATGGATGTCTAGCGGGTGTTGTGGTGTACCCCACCCCCTACAGACAACAGAAGTAGGGGGGGGGGGGATATTACCCTGGTCTCCTTTGAATCTTTAAGAGAGATTCATTTACCCTCTTCTTCCGGTACCGGCACCATTTTGGGGGGGGGAAGAAGGAAGATATTGAGGGGGATCAAGACCCAATCTCCCCTTTTTCCCCGGCTCCAAGATCTCTCTCTCTCTCTCTCTCTCTCTCTCTTTCTCTCAATCTCTCTCTCTCTCACTCTCTTTCTCTCGCTCTTTTCCTCTCTCTTTTTCCTCCGCCCCTCCCTCCCCTCCCCTCCCTCCCTCCCTCCCTCCCTCCCTCCCTCCCTCCCTCCCTTTCCCTTTCCCTCCCTTTCCCTTCCCCCCCGCCCCCCCCCCCCCTCTAACAATCTCTCTAACAATCTCTCCTTCTCCCCACCTTCACTAGCTTTCGTTGTTCCCAAGGATGTTTGGTAATTAGGACATCAGCCAAGGATGAATTTATTAAGTAGCTTGAGATGGATGGAGGGAAAGTCAAGTGTGGTGTGGAATGGTCACTAGTTCTTCTAGTTCTTGGGCAAACCAGCTGACACTGTTGTCACAGGTTTATGCACTTGAGGGTAACTTCGACCTGTAAAGAATGACTGGCCTGCCTGATACAGGCAACTCGAGCTGTCTTGGAATATGCTTGAGAGATTCGAACGATAATGTCATTGTCGATGCTGTGGATCATGCTAGCCCGAATGCGACAGCCATCCAAACAGGGGATGTCATTTTGAGTGTCAACGGAGTTGATGTTCAGGGACAGCGATTGCAATCGATCAAACCTCTGCTCAAGGGTCCAGTAGGTACAACCGTTCAATTGGTAGTGTTGAGGAGAAATTTTCAGCAGATTTCAACATCGCTCGTCCGTCATCCGCAACTGCCCGTTGCTTCTGATACAAGTTCTGCTCCTGAACACAAGCTGATCACGTGGGATAGAGAGCATGCCAGTCAGAAGATGAAGGCTGTTCCCTTCAGTGAGATCGGCACAGCAGATGGATGCTTAGATGTTACCATTGTCGATCTGGAGAATTTACCGGTCGCTTACGAAGTGGGCTGGTCTCTTACCGGGACCTTCGGTGGAACCTTATGCAACCCATATGTTGAATGCTCCGTTGGAAATTTCAAGCTACAAACTTCGACGATTTGTAATAAGCTGAGTTCTGGTGTAAATCAAACGCTGCGTATTCCAGTCACTGGTATATTTCCCTTGATTGTATGTGTCAAGAATAAGGAAACCACTTTGATTGGAGATGGTCAAATTGTTGGACAACTCTCTTTCCCAATGCAACAAATTGCTAGAAGAGGCTTTCATCAATCAGCACGTTTTAGACTACTTGTTGCTGATGAAGTCAATGAGAGGATTCCAACTCTGCGGGACCTCCCGAAAGGAGAGAGTGTGACTGGCTTGAAAGGTCGGCCTTCCACCATACAAATAGTTCTCTCTTACCATGGTCAGCCATATGAACAACTTCAGCTGGCTGCTAATCTGAAAGAACAGTACAAAGCCGCCATGAAGGAGCACGAAAATCTTTTGCAAAAGCACAAAAATTTGGAAAAAGAAAAGAAGCTTCTTGAAGAGGAAGAACAGAAACTCATAAAGCAAGATCGTGACGAGGACGAGAAGTTGCGCAAAGCAATCATAAAAAAGACCGAGAAAGAAACTGAGTTGAGAGCGAGAATTATTGACTCGCAGCAGAAACGAGCGGAGAGGGAGCGTGAAAAGTGGATTGAAGAAGCCAAGAGGCAGCAGGAGGCACTGGAAGCACAGGCAAGAAAGATGCCGGAGGTTACTCAAGTAAAACCAGCAAAGGAACCAGACCCAGTTGTGCCATCCACATGGAAGGAACTGCCTCAAATTGTGCACAAGGAAGAAGTCAAACCACAGGTTGTTCCAGAAATCAAAGAGGAGGAAAAACCAGAGCCTATCAAGGTCGCTTTGCAGAAGCCAGTCTCACGACAAGTCCCTGTCGTCGAGGAAACTTTGCCGGAAACTCCTGGCAACGAACCTCATGCAAGCTTGCCACCTGAGCCTGTCCTGCCGGTCGAAGAGGGACCTCCAGCCCCATCTAAAGATGTTCTACGCAGTGCTGTTGTTCGTCGAGAAGAGCTCAACAAAGCCATGTCCGGCTCGCAGAACCCAGGCGACAAGTTTGAGATCGAGTTTCTTCCAGACGCTGTTGCTTCTCTTCGTGCACTTGCAGCCGCTGGATATGAGATTGTGTTCATCTCCTCTGCCGTTCCATGGGTCGCGGACAAGATCCTCAAGTTTTTGATCGCGTCTGATCTTGTTGGGCCCAAGAACCCTGTGCAGGAGAGCAATGTCCTCTTCTGTCTTGAAGCCCAGGAGAAAGCTGAGATCATGAACCGGATGGGCGGCTTTGTTGCCGCGATGGATCGTTCTTGGAGCAGCTGCTCGACCATGAGCGAAGAGATAGAAGGAGTGAACTGCTTTCTGTTCTCCCCAGACGCAGAGAATGAGAGGTTGTTTTCCAATGGATACCTGAGCTGGCGCACAAAACGCGTTGAAATGCATGCACATGTGCAGCAACTTGGTTCATTGCAGAGACGAATCAATTCTAACCCTTCAGATGAAACGCTCTTCAAAGATGACATTCTGCTTCTTTTGAACAAAATCAAAAACATGTACCATCTACAGCAGGGAAAGATTCTGGTAGTTCCTCACGAGAAGAGTCACTCTGCGTCGCTCCAGACACGCCAGGTGAACGATGAAACAGTTGGTCGCCCCTGGTTGCAAGCGTGCGAGTCGCTTGGCGTCTCAAGCTCAATGGTGCGATCGTATGAGTTCGTTCCGGGAGGAGAGAAGAAACAGAGCGTGAAAGGACAGACTGGCTTCTACCCTCTCGCGGCTTCTGCTGATCAGGAAACTGTCAACCTTCTGAAAGGCAATTCAACGCCACAAGGCTGGGAGGCGGTCAAAGACAAGAAGTCGGGGGTCTGGTTCTACGTCAACCACAAGTCTAAGACTTCCACCTGGCTCGTTCCTGTTCACAACGCCTCGGACAGCCGGGCTGCAGAATGGAGCCAGAAAGCGATCCGCACTGACTTGTTTCAAGGCATCAAGGTCGACGTCGGCCTTACTCTCCGTAAAAGTAGCGATGGAAAGTACCGTGTGTCGTTGATGGAGGAACATGGGCCTGCCCACCGGAGTGGGTTAGTTCAGATTGATGACGCTGTGATAACCATCGATGGAAGAGAGATATCATCGGCAAGCCAAGAAGAAGTCAGCAACATGCTTGTCGGTGATTTGAACAGCGGAGTAGTCTTAGGGTTGGAGAGAGGCAGCAAGACGAGTCTGCCTATCTCCAACGCAGAAGACTGGGTCGCTCTGGTCTCAGAGGGTGTTCCTGATCCTGTCGAGCCCAAGAGGTACTTCCTCTATCGCAATCGAAAGCTCACAGTGCCGGAGGAGGACGATTCAGGAATCTTCACCGTGAGAGACGCGGTGACTGGAGTCTTCGTCTACTCCGGGCCCGGGCGATACGAAGGTGTTTGGCCTCTGCTGTGCAAGGAAGGTAAGCCGGTTGCTGGACGAACAGACGTATTCGAATGGCGCGGAAAGATCGTGCAGCAGCCAACATTCAATCAAGCGGGAATCGCGACAGTCTTGGACTACAAGACAAAGGAGGTTGTCTATCGTGGTCCGGGGGACATGTTTGTACCACATCATCCTGGAAACAATCCTGGAGTTAGCTTCTTTGTCTACCTCCAGCGTTCCCCTCCATCAAAGCGAGGCAGAGTCATGATCGACCTGGCCAGAATCGTTCTACGAATGTTTTCCTCAGACATGAACAAGTCGCAAGATCCAGCTGGAGTCAAGCTGGTGCTCAACTATGATTATGACAAAATGCAGTCTCGCAGAGAGTTGCTGCAGCAACAGATCCGATATGACGTAGCGGAGGCTCTGAATGTGGACCACGAGCAAATCTCTGTTCCGTTTCTGCAGAAGGGAAGCGTGATTGCTCGCTTCAACATCTTGCGCAGTGCTCACTCCAACGGAGGAATCAGTCCAGCGGCTTTGGCAGATATTTTGGTCCGGCAGTCAAAGGACCCCAGATCAAGGCTGCGCTGCATGCCGACCACTCGTCGCATTGCGGACGCGAAGGTGGAAGGAGCAGCAATCCAGGACTCCAAGGCGATGCCGACGAGAGGTGGGGAGCTCGAGGACGGCGCTCACTTGGAAGAGCCTTACCTGGAGGTTTACCTGCTTTCTGCTCGAAACCTCCCCTACCTGGAATCGATCAGGTTTCCCGATGCTGTTGTCGAAGTGTCGATGGGCAGTCAGTGCAAGTACACGAAAGTCTTCAAGGACTCCAAGGCTCCTAACTTCAATCAGGTGTTTCGATTTCCCATGGGAGACAACCAGCAGATCAAGTTACGAGTGTTCGATTTTGCTGGCCTGATGGACGGTCAACATCTGGGGGAGATCGTGATCAACTTGTCACAGCTGTTCGCATCCGAGCAGCAAGTTCTGGACGGCTGGTTTGACATGCAGGACATGAAGAGTCGCCTGTACCTCGATGGAAAGGCAGAAAGTGCTGCCTTGTACCTCAAGATTGCTCATGTCACCCGCTCAGGCCACCAAATGAGGTCGAGCAACAGCATGAACTCCAAGCCCGTCCCGAGGATGAGGCCGATCTCAGACGACCATCCCTTCTTTCCCGCTCCTGCTCAGGTTTCGAGTCAACGATTTTTCACTGCAGAGACGCCGAGTGCTGTAGTTCAGACGCCAGTCGTCAATGTGCCACGTCCTGCCCCGAGTGCTCCGGCGACGAAGGAGCCGATGGCCAAGTTGGTTGTCTTCATCTTTGGAGCTTCGGGACTGCCACCAGAGGGAAGGCAGTACCAGGTAGAAGCACGATTCTTGAACGAAACCAAGAAGACGCTCAGCAAGTCTGGTTCCTCCGTTGTCACCTTCAACGAACTTTTGCAGTTGGACGTTTGGTCAGAGTCGGACTCAAGTAGCACGCTCGAGCTGCGCTTGTTGGAGATTCCCGACAAACTCGTCGGAAGGACGAAGTTTGCCGTTCCTTTTCTCATCTCCTGCGCGCAGAAAGGTGAGAAGACGGAAGCTTCCTTCAAGCTGCAGGACGAGACTGGCAACGAGGCCGTAGGAGGCAAGCGGTCGACAGCATTGAAGATGAAGTTGCAGTACTTGCGACCTGGCGAGAAGTTCGAAGTTCCAATCGAAGAGACCAGGGAGGAAGGCGTGATTGGCATCGACTGGGAGCCCGTGAACAAGACCAACAAGCTCAAGATCTACTCGCTGCCAGCAGGGAGTCCAGCAGCAGAGGCGGGCTTGAAAAAGGGAGATGTGCTCGCGGCTGTGAACGGGAAGGACGTGTCGCAACTTTCAATTCAGGATATAATCAAGCTGGTAAAAGGCAAGGTGGGAGAGGAAGTTGAAATCACCGTCTCCCGCGAAGGGAGACTCGTCTCCGCCAAACTTATTCGCAAGGCTCTTTCTTAGGTGAGATGCTCTTGCTCCTGCACGTGAATGACATGAACATGGTCGAGCAGGCGTACGGCACTAGCAGACTTACGACACTTAACTCTCAAGGAATGAAACTTCAGCTGGATTTAGACGTGTAAGCTTCGGCGACAAGAGCATCCCACCTGACATGCAAGTCAATCGCGCTGGGTCATGGAATGCGATTTCACTCGATTTGTCGTCGGCAGAGCGGGCAGGGCATGCGTCGTTCCTGTAGTAGCTCATTAGCATGCGGATCAGAAGCAACGCACAGACCTTGAGCGACTGACAGCAGCAAGCATGGAAAACATGCCGGCACTATCAGCACGAGTCATTCACTCCTCTTCTTCTTCTTATCCTTGCCTCAAGTTGTAGAACTGGCCACGCTATGGTCTCGGGAAAAGGCTCAAGGCAAAGAGCACAAATTTCGTCGTCTTCGAGTACCTTGGCTGACGCTGAGAACATCCTGTCCTTGTCCTGCAGCGCTACTTCACCAGAGGTCATGTTGGGAAGTCATGTAGTGATGTTCACTGTCACCACCTTGACCTCCACCACAGTAAGCACGCACCTGCTCAGACACCAACTGACGGCGAACAAAGCGCTGCCGTCTGCCCGAGAGATCCTTCTGCACCCCAACTCCGCTCTCGCTCATCTCGATGATCACCCGATGCACTCCGAGGACAACCTCCTGCGAGCTCTTCCCGGCCCTGAAAGCAGCTTCGATCGCCTCGTTGGTCTCTATCATGTAAATCCCCCATGCACTTTCCGGCGCGTGAGTCACGTGAACTCCTTGGAGCTCCTCCTCGTTCTGTTTGCACCACTGCCAAACAGGCACGAAGTCTTTCCGCTGATTCGAGCCGACATTGATCAAGAACTCTTGCTTGATTTCCATGGATACACGCTTCATGCTCTTATCTTCCTCGACGAGTCTCCATTCTCCATTAGCAAGACCATTATGTGTCGCAGCATGTAAGATGACCGACGTCTGCGATGGTTCGATCTCCATTCTTCTCACTTGCCGGTAACCACTGATCTTGACTCCAAAGCGAGGACCATGGTCGATCTGCGGCGTCGTCTGGAAGTGCTTGCCATCTTTGGGCGAGAAGTGGATGGTAGCTGCAAATCTATCATTTCAACCTCAGCTCGACAACAGGCACCGTGGTGGAACGATGATCCCAGCGCGATCCGCTCTTGCTGACCCTGTTCTGGCTCAAGCTTCTCGTGAGCGCTTTCAATCTGAGGAACATGATCAGCGTGTCGAATCAAGTGCATTGGATTCTACCTGTTGGTTGATCGGGGGTGGATACGGCACGAGTGTCGCGTTCACCTAGGGCAACCAGTAAGCAAGTGAAGGGGAATGAATTCACTGACCGGATCCAGGGAGAGCCAAAGGATCCTTCTTCCTATGTGCAAACGAGCGTAAAACACTAATAATGTACGCCAGCTCAACAAGAAAACACCAACAAAAACTTCATTTTTTCTGATTCTCTCGCACCTCAAATCCTGGTTTCCCTTTCCTTGTGGTGACTTCAGATTGCAATGTGATTGTGTGTGTCTCTCCATCAACTTATCTAACTTTATACCACTATTCCTTGCCTTTCTCACTTCCATTGCCATAATCCTTGATGACATTCAATCTATCCTGCCTTCGCTTCTATTTGTCTCTCCCTTCCTGTTTCCTCTCTCTTGCCCTCCCAACCGGCTGTTCTACTCCCTCTTCTCTCTCTCCTTCCCCTCCTTACCTCTCCTTCCTGTTCGCGCTACTCCTCTTCCTTCTCTCTCCTTGTTTGTACCTGCATCTGACGACGCCATTCTTGTCTTGAAACCTGTGAGCTGGATGTGAAACTTTGAGCATAAACTTCCAGCAGAAGTTCCAAACTTCCAGCAGAAGTTCCAAACTTCCAGCAGAAGTTCCAAACTTCCAGCAGAAGTTCCAAACTTCCCCGGGGCCCGGACACGGTGACTGGCAAACATGACTGGGGCGGGCCTGTTTCAATGGGAATTATTATATATAGAGAGGGTTCTAGTCAGCTCGTAGAAGGTCCTACTTCGGTCCTAGTCGATAATGTGAGATTATACAGAGGTCCTATACAATGTCATATACGCCTATCATTCCCTAGCACCAAAGACGAAAGGTTTGTCTCCCTTACCTCTTCCGACCCCTACAACTTTGCCACCCCCACCCCTCAATCATTTGCTACCCTACCCTGCATATCCTTTAGGCTTCTCCACCCCTCAAACTGATGTACCCCTGTATGCCTATGAGAAAGATTCTTTGCATTGTACCACGGACACCTACCCCCAACCCCACCCCTTAAATACTCAACGGTACTACTACCCTTGTAGTCCCTTGCTACCCTTCCTCAAAGGGTCTTCCGTCCATCTCTACCCCGTGTTACACACCACCCTACCCACCCCTTGAGTTCCGTAAGCTCCATTCCCTGAGTTCATCGCGCTCTCATACCGTAGGGAGTGCGATGCAATGATGCGTGTGAGCCATGCTGTTAAATACTGACTTCATCATGGTAGTAGCCTCATCATGGTAGTAGCCTCATCATGGTACTAGCCTCATCATGGTAGTAGCCTCATCATGGTAGTAGCCTCATCATGGTACTAGCCTCATCATGGTACTAGCCTCATCATGGTAGTAGCCTCATCATGGTAGTAGCCTCATCATGGTAGTAGCCTCATCATGGTAGTAGCCTCATCATGGTAGTAGCCTCATCATGGTAGTAGCCTCATCATGGTAGTAGCCTCATCATGGTAGTAGCCTCATCATGGTAGTAGCCTCATCATGGTAGTAGCCTCATCATGGTAGTAGCCTCATCATGGTAGTAGCCTCATCATGGTAGTAGCCTCATCATGGTAGTAGCCTCATCATGGTAGTAGCCTCATCATGGTAGTAGCCTCATCATGGTAGTAGCCTCATCATGGTAGTAGCCTCATCATGGTAGTAGCCTCATCATGGTAGTAGCCTCATCATGGTAGTAGCCTCATCATGGTAGTAGCCTCATCATGGTAGTAGCCTCATCATGGTAGTAGCCTCATCATGGTAGTAGCCTCATCATGGTAGTAGCCTCATCATGGTAGTAGCCTCATCATGGTAGTAGCCTCATCATGGTAGTAGCCTCATCATGGTAGTAGCCTCATCATGGTAGTAGCCTCATCATGGTAGTAGCCTCATCATGGTAGTAGCCTCATCATGGTAGTAGCCTCATCATGGTAGTAGCCTCATCATGGTAGTAGCCTCATCATGGTAGTAGCCTCATCATGGTAGTAGCCTCATCATGGTAGTAGCCTCATCATGGTAGTAGCCTCATCATGGTAGTAGCCTCATCATGGTAGTAGCCTCATCATGGTAGTAGCCTCATCATGGTAGTAGCCTCATCATGACGCTGGCTTCCTGAACAAGTTTGCTTTGTGATTGTGATGGATACTTTCAGCACACAGGCTCTTGTTTTATATTTCTTTGTGATTGATTCGCCCATATTTGTCTATTTTCACGAAATGAAATGGAGCGATCTGCGTGTGAGTCGAGAGTATTTTGAAATTTTGTGAGGATTCTGATGGTAGCAAGTTGATGTGAATTGGGAATTGGGAAGCAATCGAATCCACATATCCTTTAATCCTATTCATTTTGGTCGTGGACTGTGTGACTTTTTTCTTTTGAAGGGAAGAGGAACTAGATAGATTATGGCAAAAAAAGAAGATTAACATAAAATGGACCAAGAGAGTACTACATTCAACTTCCAACAACAGCTTCTTTGGTGAGCCATCATAAAATACAGTCAACAAACTTATTTGTTCTCAGGAATGCCAACGCAAGCCCTCCGACTCCACGATCACCTGTTGGCTCCCCAGTTAATTCCTTCCGCTTTTTTCAGCCCTTGGACCTCGCGGAGTCTGCTGGTTTCCGTGCACAATCACCTCTCGGCACTTTTCAGTGGGGGGGAGGGCAACAAAAGACCTTTTCTGGTTACATTCTTGTCACAAAGGTCGAGTGTAATTGTTTGACCAGGGCCAACTTCGCCTATTGGTTCCCCACGCAGAGATGCAGGCCAACTCTCGCCCACCTTACGTGCATTTCTGGATGGACGGGATATATCACCTTTGCGCGCTGTATGATGTCCTGCTCTTCTCTTTTTAAGTATTGATTGCGGTGAAATAAGATATTTGGAGAAAGGAATGGAAGCTTGAGTCCATTCCGCCAATTCAGCCCCCTCCGTGGCACAGTGAGTGGTTTAATTTTTTGATAGATGCGTACTCTTTGGGCTTGGCGTAGATTACAGTGCATCCTGTTTCAACGGTCTCACATGAACTGTTTAGGCATCTGACGAGGGAAGCATGAGATTTTCGCCTATGCGATTAGCTAGTGACGATGGAGGCAAACCTCAAAGTCCGATTGGAGGGTGATTGTACCGGCATTGCATGTACTTCATCTTTGACAATTTTGGTCTTCAGATTACCTGGAGATATCAGTGAAAGTCAGCTAGAAGAGGCGTTGCGAAGGCATACTCAATCCACCAGGTAGGAGGACAAAAGTGTTTGATTGTCTGATTAGTCATAATGATTACAATTGCAGGTATTGGTCCAGTGTGAGGAAACGATCCCGGCCGAGGCCTGGTACGTGATTGGTAGAATTCATATCAGATTCATTGAAAAGGCTTTTGCTAGAAAGTGGAATGACTATCGAAGGGGAAGAGGATGCCTCTACAAATTTTTCAAGTGTTGTGAGTCAAGTGCTCCACAAGCAGAGATGTGAGGTTGATAGCCTGATTGCAAATTGTTTTAGGGAAGTGCCGGATTGGAATCGATGACCGGTGTACCAAGCATTGCTAGTACTCAGGTCAGCATGTGCATTGGTCATCAGCATCGCGAATTTAAACTTTGTTTTTTCTCATGCTATTTATGAATAGCCCATGTCATCTACAGCAATGCAGCTTCAAACACAACTCCAGGCAAGTATCGCATGTGTAGCGCTTGTCAAGACTTGAGCAAACTTGTCTTTGCTCTCCTTTTACTCGCAATTTCTTTCTCCTTTGCAGAACATCAGCAGTATGAATACGTGGAACCAACCAGCAGGGCAGACTCAACAGGTGCATATCAATGCTCCCTGCACCCCGTTCACCTTTTTCTTATGTTAAGGGTCGTGCACAATCTCCCACCTATCAAATACCGCCGCCAGCTTTGAATGTATTTGATTTCTAGATGCTCTTTTTGAAACTGATGCTTTGTGAAGGGTGTCAGCTCTGGACAGCCAAATCAACAGGTTGACATTTCGCCTTGCCTTTGAGTAAACTCAACGTCTTGGTTGGGTTTCAGCTACAGATTCAGCAACTCCAACAGCTCGTTCAACTGCAGCAGCAAATGCAGCAGCAGCAGGTGCAACAGCCTGTACAGCTGCAAGTACAGCAGCAATTGCAGCAGCAGCAGCAGCAGCAGCAGCAGCAGCAGCAGCAGCAGCAGCAACAGCAACAGCAGCAGCAGCAGCAGCAGCAACAATTGCAGCAGCAGCAGCAACAACAACAACAACAATTGCAGCAGCAGCAGCAGCAGCAGCAGCAGCAGCAGCAGCAGCAGCAGCAGCAGATTCATGTACGTACGAATGTCTGCTTTGAATTGCTAACGACACATCAGGCTGTGTCTCAGGCTGGCTTAAGTCAAATTCAAGCAGCACAGGTGAGAAGCAAATGTTGAAACTACAGACTAAACTTTCGGTAGAACAATCAGTTTCAACAAATTCATCAGCAATTGCAGTACTCCAACCAGCAGCAGCAGCAGCAGCAGCAGCAGCAGTTTCACGGCAATTTTCAGCAACCGCATGGAACCCAGATGCAACTACACCAACAGGGTTTCCATGGATCCTTTTCCAACAATTTCCAACAATTCTCAGGAAATTCAGCGGTAGAAAAATTGAAGGTAAACTCGAAGGCGTCAAGTCGATTTTTGCAACTGTTCTTTAGGCCGACCTCTTCAACCAGAGTGCAAACCCGAGTAACGCTTTCTCCCATGGTTTGTTCTCGTGCCTTCCATTTGAATTGAATCCTATGCATTGACATTTTGTTTACTTCAGTTCATGTTAACAACATGGATGCCAAAGGGCTCATGGGTGTCAATCAGGTTTGTCCCCAATTTTCATACTGATATCTGAGTTTTCCTATTCGAAGTTCTCTGGGGCAAATACACAACAAGATCAGCAGGTTCTTCTTATTCGTTTTGCACTTTCACTTGTTTCTAATTTTTGACTTGTTAGAATAAGTTTGCTACCAATTCGATGCCGATGGACTACTTTGTAAATGTAGACTTGCATTGCAATAAGTTTGATTTATATTTCTATGACAAGTGTGTGACACAGCCCTTGAATATCCCAATTGCTGGATCGAGGCCTTTTGGGTAAGATTTTCTATTTATTTTGATGTATCTAATTTCGGAAATATCTTCAGGGTTGTTACTCCCGATTTGAACACAAATGCAGTTCAAGCCCATCAAGTCGTTTGTTATGATGATCTGAAACTTTGCTGCTAATGCCAAAAATCCAGATTTTGGACGACAAATTTGTGACCAACCACAGGAGAGATCGGATGCCGAATCGAGACTGCGCATCGGTGAGGCATCGAATTGAGAGTTCGATTTACCAATTGATGTTGAATTGTTATTAGGAGGCGGGCTCGCCTTGCCGTAGCATGTCCGGATCTCCAACGGGACGAAGGCAATCAAAACTTTTTGTTCCCGTTTCATGTCTTCGCTGACGATGCTCCGGTTTGTCGCAGATGCACCTCTACAAGTCCCATAAGGCGAGCTATCCGGACGCAGGTTGTGCTGCTTGTGTTCTTGCACGTTGTGACAATTTGCGTGATGTAGAAAGTCGCAAGTGCACCGCAGCCCCCGAGTGTAGATATGATGACGTGTTGTGTTCAGCTAATGGTAAGAATCCGATTCATCTTCATTACGCATTTGATGTTATGGCAGGCAAGTCCTGGTCAGCCCTCTGCGAGAGTGACACAGGTACACGACATTTACCCTTCTCTGTAGCTTTCGTTTTCGTGTCAGCCCCGCAGTGGTTTAGATGGGTTGTTGCATCCAACCGACACATGGTGTTAGACTAGCAAGGACAGAGCGAAAGGGCCGTCAGTATGACCTTCAGTTGGTAACATTCGGTCACGTAGGCTCTCGAAGCCTTTGCTGCCAGCGTAAAGGCAGGCCAGAGAGAAGAAGCCATGAGAGCGGCAAAACGAAGCAAAGGACTTTTGGATGGACACACCGACGAACTTGCTGACACTCTGGCCAAAATTGGTGCGACCCTTTGTGAACTTTCCGTCTCGACTTACGTTGTGAAATTAGGAGTGGATGACGAAGAAGAAGATAAAAAGATTGGACAGGTTTGATGCAAGTTGATGAGTGATGAAGTTACGGATGGTTTGATAGTCACCAATCGAAAGACACAAATTGCTTGCGTGGAGGCCGCCCACCAATGGCAAGATAAATATAGATGTGTTCAAAAGCAAAGACGGGGTAAGCAATCTTGTCCTGAGAATTACAGGAATGATGATGCAACAAACAGACCAGCCATAGCGTGAATGTTAAAGGAGCGAAAAGCTGGAGTGAATTTCAAGAAGCCGTCACTCAACTGGTATCAGCAGTACGTGAGCTTGTTCCTGACGTCGAAATCAAACAGAATCAGGTACGATACATGTGCTGCTCTTTTTGCTTATTTTTTTTCGCTCCAGGCCCGAGTTGCCTTGACAAAATCCAGTTTTCATATTGGACACTGTATAGACATTGGGAACCTAAACATCGCCGATGACTTCGCAGAGGTAGGGTGCAAGGATTGCCTCGAAGCTCCATGCTCAGCTACGTGCAGGTCTGCACGAGGAAGAAGAAAGGAGCAGAGGCTGCAGTTGGCAAGGCTGCCAAGACAAATGGTGGACTCGTTTTGAAGCTTCACAAGTGAGGAGATTGCACTCGGATAAAGAAATCCTTCACTGAGTGTTACTTGCTTGACGTCGTTCTCTGTGCTAAAGATGGAACGCAAAAGTTATGCTACATGGCAATGGTCGTGGAGACATGTGGTGGCCAACTTCAGGTTTTCAAAAACGATTTTCTTGACAGAGCTGACATTTAAACAGATCTAGAGAACATGACTGAAGCTTATAATGCTCTGTGTGCACACTTGAATATCTCGGGTCACCCAAGCTCGCCGTCAAGTATGGACTTGCATCATCTCGCATGGGCTGAGGTGTTGCTCGCAGGCTCTGTCTCATCTCCGTTACAGCACCCGTTGGAGTCCGATCTCATGCCGCCGCCACAACGTGACATTCAAGTGTGACTGATTCGAATCTGACATTTCAATTGCAGCCCTTGTCCGCAAGGGAGGGAGTTTCAAGAAGAAGATGAGCGAGGAAGGTCAGCCATTGTTTTCGCAAGGAGCGTCCAACCCCGTAATGCAAAACCAAGGTCAGTGCCAGGCTTTGTTCCAGCCGACTGGGCAGACGTGAGTGATCTTGCCCATGCAGCATTTCCCGGATTCAAAGCCACCTAACAGTCTAAGAGTACAGATTTGAGTTTACTAGACAGGCATTATTAGTTTCGAGTTGTGGACGCTTTGTTTCGAAACCAGTGGATTAAGTTGAAGAATGACACTTTGATCGTGAAGATTGAGAGGTGGTGGATTCAGAATGTAATGCTCAGACCTCTTTTAATCATATGTGGGGGACTTGTATTCATATCAGACATGCACGTTAAGAGCTTCCGACCGCGCTGTGCAGAGCAGTGACCCACTTGTCGCAAGCCTCGAGACTTTCTGCTTTGAAGCTGACAACCTTACAAGACAGTCTGAGTGCTAAGGAGAGATGATCGCAAGTCTCACCTGCCCTTTGTCGCGATGAACCAGATCGAACCTCAAAGGATCCATTCTTCCTTTCCCTGGAACCCTCCGCTCCGGCGGAACATACCAGTTCTTCATGTCGTATCTGCGGATTAGAGTTAGGAAAGGAGGAAACGCAAGGAAGGAAGACCTTTCTTTCGTGTCTCCTTTGTCATTGAGATGTAGACACTCCATGACACCATCGGCTAGCGAGCACTGAAGTCGGATCTTCCAAGGGTCCTCAAACCTTCCGTGATCTGCTTTCTTCTTGCGTAAGATTGACTCCATCACCTTGTTCCCCTTCCGCTTCTGAGTCTCCTCAGCTTGAGGCAGGCCCGCAGCTTCCTCAGCCACTTCTTGAGCTCCCCGGCTAGAGACAGGCTGGAGGACGTTGTTCTCATATGACGACGTATCATGCCTGTCACTTCGCGAACTCACTGACGCCTCTTCGCTCCCCTTGAGCAAGCTTCGTAACATCTTGACTTCAGCGGTCAGCGCAGCATTCTCTTCGAGGAGGTATGATGCCTTGGCTGCACTCTCTTGGATCTGCACTCTCGCTTCTTCCAACTCACTTTTCAACACATTTCTGTCTTCTTCAATCGTGCGTTTTTCTGCTTTGAGCTTTTCAAATGCAGCTTCTCTTTGAGCGAATTTTGCTTGCAACTCGTCAAATGCCGAGTTGTTTAACTCCTGCGAGCGTTGTGCTTTGCTTTCTTCAAGTAGTCTCTTCTCTTCTTTTAGCTGCTCTTCAACTACAGCGATGTTGGCAGCAAGCCGCTTGCGCGCGAGGGTCACAGCAGAAGAAAGACTGTCAGCCGACGAAAGAACAGCCTTGGACATCTTGCTTCTCTCAGCTTCGACGAGGGCAAGGAGATCCTCGATGTTTTCTAAATCTTCGTCGTCCCATTCGTTGCTTTCTGTCGCCTCCGCATTCTTTTGGGGAGACTCGTCAGCCTGTATGATTGTGAGTTTGACAGGACACCCCAAGTTCGTCTCACCATGCCGAGGCTTCCGAGGTCTCTGAGAGGGTCAGAAAGGCTGCCGTCAGAAGATAGAAGATCTTGGGGGTCCTGCTGGAGGGAGGATGCGGCTGCTCGCGGAGTCGCCTCCTCACTGTCGCCCTCGGGTATGACATGCAGCATGGCGGGCGGGAAGAGGAGCAGAACTGAACGATAGGCAAGGATTAAGCGATCATTAATGTTTAAGAGCAGGATTAAGCAATGATTAGGCGAGGATTAAGCAGCGGTGATCAATTATTAATTTTATAGGCTGGAAATAAGCGATTATACATTTTTTATTAAAATGCTGATCATCCCAAGGCAGGATTAAGGCAGGATTAAGGCAGGATTAAGCCATGGTTCGGACGGTGCCTTGTCAGTTTATTGGCATGATGGTCGGCTGACAAGTCTGAAGTACAAGAATACATCTCTCATCGCTCAGATGCTTCACTCTAGTCTCCGAACATGTCCAGGTCTTCTTCCTGCATGCGAGTAGATCAGCTCATCTCCATACACGATGCACGTGACCTTCTGCTCCAGCGACTTTTTGTAGTCCTCGACCAGAGATTGAAACCTTTCAGCGCCTACCCATCCTGGAGTAACAAGCATGAACAAGACACACATCTCTGTAGGAGATGCAGACCAAACTCTATCACGGTACACGTCAAGTTGTCTCCACTTCCTGACAATCAAGTCATCACGATCACTGAAACCTTGCGACAGTCCGATAAGGTTACGGTCTGTCACCTTTCTGATACGCGGTCCGCACCACAGAAGCAGCCGCGTCCTGTGGACGTCCAAAGTGTTCTCCAGCGATGTCAACAGCCTCCTGTGAGCAGAAGGGTCACCATCACTCTGAGCGGTTCACAACACGCCATGTCCTCGCGGTCGGTCACCTGGTCATCAAGCATGTCCCAGATGCCGTCACAGGCCATGACGATGAAGCAGTCCTCTGATGTGATATCCAACACCTGACGATTCGTGTGAGAGGGGTCGGTCCGCCAATCCCCGTCACCTTGATCTCTGGTTCGCTCACGACAATCTTGTTCGGTTGCTTCAGGTCAGTATCTCCAAACGTCCGCGAGACTGCCAGGTATTGATGCTCCTGCAAACTCTACGTTCAGCTTCACTTCATAGCAAACGAACACTGCAAGGATCACTTTCAAATTCACCCCAGCTCCTGCACCAGCTGCAGTTGTCACACGCCAGACTCCACCAATATTGACAACGTAGCCTCCTGCCGCCCGAACCTACGTGACAGTCTCAACTCCCTCACAGGACACGCACAAGGCAACCCGTCGCTCCTCGTCGCCACGGTTCGGTTTGTGATCTTCTGAAAGACGAATCGCTCTGCCGCCTCTGCACATCACAGCTCTAGCGCGTGGCCACAAGTAAGAGGCAAGTGATTCACAGATTGAAAAACAACACTCAGATGCCTTCGGTGACGATATTACCTGCAATCTCCGGTATTCGCACAATAAACTTTGAGGTCTCCTGATTTTTGCTTCAAGTTCTTTTAGCAGAACGTGATGAGTCAAAATTTCATCCATGCACCTCTGTTGGAGTAATGCTTCCTGTGACCAAGGTCACCAGGGCAGTGGAGCCATCCTTCGCCTTCATGTGGCCTGGCAACTTGATAAGTTCCTGCAAACCTGTCACTTCTAATGACGATCAGCAGGCTTTCTCAACTTTGTCCGTGTTGATGAAGACGTCATTCAAAAGTCTGGATACACACTGAGATCGTAGGAGGGCAGAATGGAGTTGGCACCTTCGGATGCTCGATTCGTTGGGGGTCCATGACACCAAAGCATTTCTGCGCAGTTGAATGTTCTTGTGGAGATGTTTGGCAAGATACTCAGGCGTGAAGATTCCACCATGCCTGATAAGCGCAACGAAAATGGTCATCTCTACATCTCAAACAACCTACACAGGAGTACAGCCACAATTGTTCTCACCCATCGAAGATCGCATAGTAGTATCCGAGATCACCCAAGTCTTCAGGACCAGAGTACCTTGCAAGCTGCCAGTCACGAGGGGAGAGGAGGAGAAAGAGATATCATGCGGCTCTACCGATCTTCTTGATGATCTTTCAACCCACGCCAGGACTCCGTGTGAAAACGCAAGTTGAGCTGTGCGTGATGCTCCTGCAAGCCAGAACAAAGTGAGGGGTGTCAAAGTAACAGAGATTAGATGAAAGTAAAGGAGGTTAAAGTAAGGGAGATGAAAGTAAAGGAGGTAAATGTAAGGGAGGTTAAAGTAAAGGAGGTTAAAGAAAGGGAGGTTAAAGTAAAGGAGGTAAATGTAAGGGAGATGAAAGTAAAGGAGGTAAATGTAAGGGAGATGAAAGTAAAGGAGGTTAAAGAAAGGGAGGTTAAAGTAAAGGAGGTTAAAGAAAGGGAGATGAAAGTAAAGGAGGTAAAGGTAAGGGAGATGAAAGTAAAGGAGGTAAATGTAAGGGAGATGAAAGTAAAGGAGGTTAAAGAAAGGGAGGTTAAAGTAAAGGAGGTAAATGTAAGGGAGATGAAAGTAAAGGAGGTTAAAGAAAGGGAGGTTAAAGTAAAGGAGGTTAAACGGAGGAAGGACTTAAGTTAGGGGAAGATTTAGAAAAGACATCACCTGCGGCTCAAACGGCAGGCCGTCTGGAGTTCGAACATCCAAAGCACTTGAGTGAAGAACTGTCAGAGAGTGGAGTAGAGAATGCTACCTTCACCATCGGCGACCATCTTCTGACGTGCTGTATGAGCTGTCAGTCACCTTACAAGGAACTCAAGGCTTTCAACTGCCTTAAAGTGAAGGAAACTTGTTGGCCTTCAGTCAACGCCACTAGACCCGAACCTCCTCGAACCACAACCTGGCAAGACATGACTTCGAGCACCATAACTTCATTCCTTACAGCGTTCTTATGAACGAATACGTCTGTTTTGTCAGATGACTCCAAGCTAGAGAGGTAGATGTGAGACTCTTTTGTGCGATGTAACTGAAACAATATACCTCGCGCCCTCCTCCGGAGAAATGAATCCGAATCCTTTCTTGACATTAAAATTTACAATCTTCCCCTTTCACAGTGTTCAAAAGACGTAACAACACGTCCAGTGTTCTTATGTACCTTCAGTCTTCCCTCATTCGCTTCAGAAATATTTTCACCTAGGGTGGCGACTAATCTTCAGGATGTTGTTGCTGACCCACAACATTGGAAATAGAGACCATGTGCAGTTCTTGTAGAATTCTCTTTCATCCCCTGACCATCTTCAAGCGTCTGCAGCATTGATGCATAAAAGGTTTCTGCTTGAATCTGCATGTTTGATCAAAGGAAATCTTGAACGCTCAGCTTTGAAAACCTTAAGCTCCTTCAAATCTTTACTTGTTGACATATCTGTTGCGAATTCAACAAAAATCACTCTCAAGAATTTTCATCATTTGCAGATCAGTAAACCTTTGGAAAGTGAATTGAGCTTCTTCAAAAACTGACAAATAAAATCAATTATCAAAGTAAATGTAGTCAGATACAACCTCTAGAAATTCTTCCAAATTCTTTGATTCCTGCAAATTTTCAAACTCCTCGAGCAATTCTGTGATAGATAAATTCTCCATGCTTGATTTCTAGTCCCAAAAATTCAATAAAGAAATCTTTTGATGTCTTTGCAAGAACCTTGGAAGGCTGGAAGTCGATCTCATTTGATGAGATATCTTCTGACGATCTTTTCATCTGCAAGTTCAAATTCGTATTAGATGGTGATTCATCACATGATTTCTCCGATTAGAGTGGTCACTTGCTCCAAGGCTATGAATCCTCGAGCGCTCCTATCAATCTTCTGAGAGGGTTCATCTATCATCTCTGATGGACAATAGGGAGAACTCCATATCTACTTCTCTCAGATTTAATTCGAGGCAGTCCAAAGATTCATATGCTCGGTCTTAGTTATCTGCTTTCCCGTGATCATCCTTCTTCTCTCGCTCTTCGCGAATCCAGACCCTTCTCGTCGACCTCCCTCCCTCGCTTCCTCAACTGTTTCTCTTTTTCGTTCTAATCACTGATCTTCTCCATTCCTTTTCCTACCTCGGACTCTCTGTTCTAGATTATATTTTCCTTTTAAACACTCTCACTTTCACTAGCTGATCAGTCCTTTCCTCGATTCGCTTCAAATTTCCCTGCTCCCGTGTCCCTCCTCTCATGCTCCCGGCCTGCCTACGCCAATCATTCTCAAACTCCTGCTATCCTTCCTTTCTCGCTCTCCCCTTTCTCCCTCCCCAGTCCTGTGCTGCCGTCGGTAATCTCACCCTCCTCTTCTCCTCCTCATCATCATAATCACCATCAACATCCTTCCTATGTTCTGTCCTCCCCTCTTCTCTCATGCTCTTCCCTATCCTCCCCTCCCCTCCTCCCCTCCCCTCCTCCTCTAACTCCTGACCTTATCTCCTC